ATAATTATTGCGTTAAACTTGAATAAAAACATAATTCCCGAATTTTCCCGATTTTGACTTTTTTATTCCCGAATTTGGATGTTTTTACTCCCGGAAAATCGAAGCTTTAAGTATGACAAATGAATTTAAAAATATTATGATATAATTCTCAATTGTTATGTTATACATTATACGTTATACATGTAAATAAATATATTGTATACAATTAACAAGACTATTTAATTAAATATGTATAAAAATGTTTTATAAAAATAAAATGCATAACATAAAAATAATACTTTATATTATAAATAAAATTTTTAAAAGTATAGTTTGTTAATCACAGACATAAGCAAATTAAACATCACTATTATGTCTTGTATACAGTATGTAAATGAGAATCAATCTATATTTGTAGACATTTGTGCTTATATTGTAATTGGAATCCAATTTCTTATAAGATTTTAATTCAGTTTCTAATAGTAAATCTAAAATTATTTTATAATTTTACCTTCAACCTATATTTAATATTTTAAAAATATTTAATTAATTAATTAATACATTTATAATCATTAGGTTTTATCCTAATATTAAGTAAAATATATAAGAATACAGTTTGTTGGTTTTGTATTTAATACAACATTAATTGAGTTTTTAAAATATGTATAATTAATCTATTACCAAATATATAATATCACCAGTGACGATAATTACTTTTTATTATTACAAAATAGTGTTCACACTATTTCTAATACCAAAATATCCCACAAATTATAAAATAAATGTACACCAATGAACTCGTCAGACATATCGTTTAAACATCTCATAAGACAAAGGGATTAATGAATTTAAAAATACACTTTTTAATAATCCATAAGTCGATCATAAATTCTACCGGCTATTACCATATTAAATAATCTAGACTTTATTTTCAATTAAACTTGTTCTGGTTTCCAGATCATTTGTTTCATCAGGGTTTGAAATAACGGCCCAGAGTTGGGGTTCAGCGGTTCCCCACACCTCAAAGGCTATGGCACCCAAAGCATAAACAGTGGCCGACAAATACCATATTATATTCCACTGATGTCTTACACCCGAATCGCCCTAAAAGGCATTGATTAAAAAGTCAATTACAATTAAATGTAAAAATACCAAGTTAAAAATCAAATAATTACTGACCCCATAATCCAATAGGAGTCCAACAATCTGTGGTCCAATGAAACCCGTGGTTGAGGCCAATGTGTTGGTCACACCGAAGACACTGCCCGCATAACTGGGCGCGTACTCCGGGACGACACCAAATTCACCGCCGGTGATGAACCCAAATGCCGTCATTCCGACCAACATTAACGCTATGACCGCAATCGCATTACAGTCTACCACTGGTATGAGGAACATACAGACAGCGCATGTGAGCAGAGCTGGTAAATAATAACAAAGTAAATAGTTAATTGAAGTGATAGTTAAAACAATTAAATATAGTAAATATTAGTTACAAAAGCTTTGAAAATTCTTGCGATTCCTGGTCTGAGAAAACCAGTGCTGACTGCGAATGCAATTAGAGAGCGGACCACCGGTTATGTTAGTGACACACAGACACCCGTACATCATTGAGTTGAACCAACTGTTGCTCGTTATGCTCACACCAAATACATTATCCAAATATGTGGGCATTTTTGTGCACATTATATAATAGCCAAAACAGGCGCAGATTTTGGTCAGTATTGACGCCCAGACGGGTTTGGACGAGAAGATAGCCCTCCAGGGAATCGTCACATTCTTAGCACTTCTTGACTGCGGATTATTACTCGATATGTATTTCAGTTCGTATTCACTGATATTTGGGTCCTCTTCGGGACTGTTGTGAACCAAATAACACCAAAACCCAAACCAAACGATATTTACAATAGATGTTGAATAAAAAGCAGAGGGCCAGCCGTCCAGAAATTGCACCTTGCACAAATAGCCGACAATTGGCAGGGTAACAACGCCACCAAAATTACCAAAAAACATTGTCCCACTTATGGCCACTATTTTCTCCGATTGTGGGAACCATTTGGCAAACAATGAGAAAACACAGGCGTATATCACGCCGTGAAAGGCGCCGATCAATACCCTCATCAAAATGACCAAAGAGTAGTGAATGTCGGCCAACACTGGTATGAATGCGTTTAACAGTGCGGGCAATACAACACCCAAACCGGTCATCCATTTAGCACCGAATTTGTCCGCATATGAGCCCAACATTTGTGTTACTGTATAGCCATAGAAATAGGAGCCCAGTATAACGCCCTGTACTGATTGGCTCCACATATATTTCGGACCCTAAGTTAAAATGTTTTTTATATATTCACATAACAATAATATTGAGCTAAAAATTTAAAAGATATATACGTGATAAGTATTTGTTAATTTGGTGACATTAATTCTGGTGTTGATATCATAGCACAGGTCATTGCCGTGAGCGGCGGTGTCCTCTTCAATCACCTCCAACTCGTCGACCATCGCTATGATAGCGACACTCAGATTGGATCGCAACACATATAGCATAAAACATCCCAGACATCCCATCAAACCCACAATAAACCTCTTCGGCACCAATGGTTGGCCCATATATTTGTTTTCCATAATTTTAACTCACATATGCCAGAGCAATATGACCAGGTTTAATTTAGAAGATGCAACTAGTATTAAATCTAGTTTATTAGAAATACTTGTAATTTACAAGAATATTTCGTGATACTTTATATTAACTTTCATAGTATTTTGTGGACATTTTTATAGTTTTAGAGCCAATTAAATAAAAATCAATTAAATTTTATTAGAATTTTTTTATTAAAAACATTAGAGACGACATTGAATACAGAATTTCATGGTTTTTGTGTTAAACGAGTAAACGATAGAATTTTATTAATATAGCGGTATTAGTGAACGCATTGGATGTTATAGTAATGCTTAGGAACCAGAATTTATTTGTAAATATATTCATTTGTGAGCAACTCATAGAAGTCTCTCTCGACGTCATTCAACATAGCTATGAATGAGAGAGAGAGAGAGAGAGAGAGAGAGTAAGTCTCTCTCGACGTCATTCAACATAGCTATGAATAAGAGAGAGAGAGAGAGAGAGAGAGAGAGAGAGAGAGAGCGACGACTCCGACTATGCACTCGCTATTATTCTGTTATGCAATACTATGACAAGAATATGATCTAAAAAGTGTTATATTGTATGGCATTGACTGTATATTTAATTTCTTTTACATTCTTAATGCTTATACTATTGATTGCAATGGAATGATAATAATTATTATTCAGTAAAACTCTTAAAACTATTTTAAAAAGATTTAATATTCTGTGGTTCTGTTTAATGGTAATTTAATATAGATGTAAAAAAACATAATAAAGTTACCATAATAATTAAGAATGCAATTTATTTTGATTTTATTTATAGTGCATATTATTTATTAATGTGATTTATGATGATTGGATCTTTACTTTTCATTGTAATTGCAAAATTATAAAATATTTTAAGAAATAGTGACAAGGTCAAATAAACCCATAAACTATGGTAAAATACAAACGTCTTCTATATACCAACCTTCTTTAATTCTTTTAAATTAAAACAAATTACTTTAACATATGTTATATAACTTATAGTTTTTCATAATTAACAAGGTTATAACAAAACAAATAAATTTGGCTGATTTACATAAATCATTTTTATAGCTCGAATTTTTTACCTCGTTCATTAAATTAAATCTTTAGACATGCTCCAAAATTAGTATTTAATCTAGTATTCATGTCAAAATAGAATTTTTATTTATCAATTTAAATATTTACAAATTGTTTTATTGATTAGTTTTATAAAATAATCCGGAATATGAAAAGGTTAATGTTATAAATTATAACTTATAATACTGTACAGTATATAAATTTCATTCAGTATAAATTTTATGTAAACTAATAATAGCTATAATAAAAGCTATAATATTTTATATAAAATTTATTAAATATTTTATGAATATTTATGATGAGGGGTGCGTAACAATAAACATTTAATAAGAACATGTTGATTTAAGGCATAATATCGTTGCTCATATTGTTGATCTATTTATATTATATAACTTAATATTAAGTATTATTATTTATACATTTAAATTAATATCCTTATTATCCTTATTATTATTGTCTTTATTTAATTCCTTAGTCAACGATTCTTCGCCGATCAGAGCCCAGGTCTGGGGTTCAGTCGTGCCGTAGATCTCAAAGTAAGCGCCGCCGAAGCCATAGATGGCGGCCGACAAATACCACACTATATCCCACTTATGGCGAACACTCGACCCATCCTTTTATTAAAAAACATAATTGATTTATAACTCAATTCAAATGAATTTATAACCAAACTCTTACGCCGTGATCGAGGAGTAGTCCCACAATCTGAGGGCCCATAAAACCTGTGGTTGAGGCCAGAGTAGAGGCCACGCCGTAAACAGTGCCCGAATAGTTGGGCGCGTATTCGGGAATACAGGCGTATTCGCCCCCGGCAATGGACCCAAACAGAAATATGCCCGACAGTAACAAACACATGACGGCCACTATATTGCAACCAACCAGCGGTATTACACCTATGCATATACAACAGCCAAACATACCTGTTGTTTATGCCAATAGAGGGAGAATTATTACTTTAAAAATTTTTGAAATATTCTTTAAAATACGGACCAAAACTTTGAAAATTTTTCCGACTCCTGGTCAATGAGATCCAGTGTTTGCCGTTAACCCACGTGGAGAGGGGACCGGCGATCAGCGTCGACACGCATAGTATGGCATAAAATAGCGAATTAAACCAACTGTTGGTCTGTATAGACATCCCGAATACTGTGTCCAAATATGTGGGCATTTTAGTGCACAACACATAATAGCCAAAAGAGCCGCATATTTTGCTCACAATCGACGCCCAGACGGCCCGCGACACAAATATCGATCGCCACGGAGTCGAGCGGTTCCGCACATTCTTCGACGACTTATTGTCGGCCATAATGTAGTCGAGTTCAGCGCCGGTGATCCTATCGCTGTCTTCCGGGCGATCGCTCACCAAATGAATCCACAGTAAAAACCAAAACACGTGTATAAATGAGGTAAAGTAGAAGGCAGTGGGCCAGCCGTCCAGCGCAGCCACTTTGCACAGGTAGCCGACGAGTGGCATCGTTAGCACACCACCCAAATTGCCCGAAAATATAATGCCCGTTAGGGGCAGATTCATCTCCGACTGCGGGAACCATTTGGCGTACAACGAGAATAAACCCGAGAAGACCAGACCGTGAAAGGCGCCCATCAGTACCCGTAGGACCACAACCGCTGTGTAGTGAATGTCCGCTGCGGTCGGTATAAAGGCGTTCAATATGGCCGGCATGAAGACACCCAAACCCACCATCCATTTGGCACCGAATCTGTCGGCAAAAGTGCCGCAAATATGTGTCAATGTATAGCCGTAGAAATACGACCCCAGTATCACTCCCTGAACCGATTGTGTCCATTGGTATCGGCCCTCAAATTAAGATTAAATATTTTATATATTTTTGTTGTCAAATATTTTATTGAAATATTAATAACTTATAATTTATAAAACAATTGACACTCACTTTATCAGTAGTAGACGTGATATTAGTAATACTTTTATCTACTGTATGAATATCGTAACACAAATCATCGCTAACTACAAGCGACTGATTATTATTATCACGAATATTATTAAAATGATTGCTGTTATCAATCACTTGCTTCTCGTCGACCATCGCTATGATAGCGACGGACAGATTGGTCCGCAACATGTATAGGAGAGTACAGCCCAGACATCCCAATACACCGACAATCACCCGACAGGGGATGACTGTCCTCTCAATTTTCTCATATTTCATCATTATTTGAGAAATTAAATAACAAAACGTATAATTCAGTCAATGATTAGCACCTGTAGTGATATGAGAGCCGCGCAAACACACCAACAGTTGCTCTTTTGTTTTATATCAGATTTTATTAATAAAAAATCGATACAATTCTGGTTCGTCTCAGTTATGTCTCGATTCACTCTCTCTTCTCTCGTCGTCTCGTTTTGTATTTACATTATTTCACATTTCAATTAAATTTATATTTCATTTTACAAACAAAGTATTCAAATAAATAATACTTTTTATATTCATTCAATGAATTTTCTGAGCGCTTAGGAACAGAAACCACTTTTATTCTTACACAGTCTCTCTCTCTCTCTCTCTCTCTCTCTCT